TGAATCACGAGATTCGGATGAGCTGATGCAACAATTAGAGAAGTTATTTCAGGAAGACTACAATGATGATGATCTTTTTGAAGGTTCATTATGCAATATTCCCAGTTCTTCAATGTATGAAGTAAACACTAATAAATTGCCAGGAGTAGGCAACCACAATTTAAACATTGAAATAGAAAGTCGGAGCTCAAACACTAAAGCTTCAGAGCAGCAATCTTTTGACGAAAGATTATCATCAATCGCTGGACAGTTAGTAAATAATTTTCAAAGTAATTCTATTACCAAACCTGTACATCAGAAAATTAAAAGAAACGGTTCCAGTAAATGGTTATGTGAAGAATATTTCTTAAAGTTACGCTTGTATGAAATGTTGGATCAACTAAGAGACTGTAATAGGGCAAAACTTGCAAGGGTAAATTTAAGTATTTTCACTAGAATATTTATAATTAAAAATACAAAATGTGAATAGCTTGATATATTTACAGATAAAAGAAATATTAGTGGATTTATTTGGAGATGATAGTGATGATGAGGGAGTGATGTCACCCTTGGAAGAAACTCAAGAGTTTATAACAAGTTGTAAAGAGCGTATAGCGCCGTGGGTTGTTAGAACATTAACCCCTTTCTATATTAAAGGTGGGATAAAAGGGAAAGCACTATTTAAAGCTGTAGCCAAACATTTGATAAGACTTATATACCAGTGCAGTAAATATCCAAGTATGTATCTCAAATTTTTATTATGGTATGTGTTCTTATTATTATATATGAGAGAAAGCAATAAAAAATAGCAAAATTATTTATATTTATGTGAATACTACACCATGGATAATAATAATAACGGGTGATTATATCACTTTAAATATAACTTATTTTGAACTCGCAGTGTTTTTAGTGAATTGCAGCACACTTGAATGGAGTTGGACATTATATCTTAATTAAACTTAGGCTACCTTCAATAGATCTGGTTACAAATAGTACTGGTCCACCTAGAACATACTTACTTATCTGGATGTCATGCTGTAATAAGCTGTGTCTTTTTGGCAAAATGCCAATTGATAGACTGTAGAAACGGTCATGTAAAATATTCTATTAGAAGTTCACTTCAAGAAGTCAATATGAATATAATTCTTCAACGTACTGGCGGTACAGCAGCTACACACTCAACTGTGGCTGGTTCACTTGATCACTGTGACAGAACATAGACAAAGCTTGGTGTTGTACAAAACTTACTTGATGTGCTGTTACAGTAACATGAGTCATATTGTGTATAGGAAAAAGATCCATAGTCAAACCTTACTAACATTTTAGTATTAGTATTTCAAGTATCCCCAATAAAGAAGTTAACTCCCGTTAGGTGTTGGGTTATGACTGGCATTAATTAGTTAGATGTCTGGCATTTCGACTTGTCATATTAAAACCATGACAAGCTGTAAAACATGTCATGGCTAAAAAATTCATATATTTGCAAAAAAAATCAAACTAATCTATTTTGTCACTACAAATTATTCATCTGTATGTTTTGTACAAGTTGCATGCCTGTTTTAATTCTTTTTCATAAAACTTTTTTGCAAATCCGACTACTTTTTAATTATCATATAATTAATGTAAATATTACCAACAAAACTTCTCAATATTTCAGGTGAATATGAAGTAAAGAGCTTTGTAAGCGATTTTCTGGAAAGTCATAAGAAAATAAGATGTGAAGCCGACTTCAAGCAATTCCGAATAGAAAATATTTAATTGGATTTAATATTACTACATACACATACTACCTATGTGAATTGATTATTATTTTTTAATCTTTCTTCCGTAATTATTTGCTATGGTAAGCATACATTATTGTCATAAACACAATGAAATGGAAAGAGACTTTTCTTTAAAATGAACACATGACAATTTTTCTTATTTGTTTTTATGCTTCTTAAATAAACAAGTCACTATTTACAAAATAACAACCTTAACTAGACATTAATATAGTCAATGCACACTCTTGCCTGCCAGCATGGCACACACCCACATGGTAGGGAAGGTGCGTGATCAGCCAGGTTTTTATACCAGGTATTTGCTTGCACGTGCGTCGGCCAGTGAACCCGAAGTAGTAAAATATTTTATTTGACAACTCGTTCGTGGCATGGCTTCGGCCGCACTCGGTGAAACAATGAAAAGTATTGTGAGCCTTGTCTGTTTGAACTGGACTCCTTAGAAATAAAACTGTTTTCATAAAAAATAATAAATATAATCACCCTGATTAATCAAATATCTTCCAAAATTTCAAAGTACTTTCTTACAGACACTTTCTACAGATGTTCCTTTTTTATATTATTTGACGGATCAATTTCCTATACAAGTATTTTCAATCTATTTATTTATCGACACTGGAAAGTACAAACATGTTCAAAACTTTATGCACATACACATGTATAGGATGTCCCAGAAGTCGATACTAAGCCGGAATCGGGTGATAAGTCCAGTCATAATAGTTAACAGAAAGAAAATCTTTGCTACGTATTCTAAATTACAGGCATTTATAAAAAAAAAATCGTGAGAATCTACATGCTGTGACTCATTTTAATTTTTTTTTTTTTAATTTTCTTTTTATTATTTAATCCTGAATAATGCTTCTGAAAACTGTGGCTTAAAATTAACAGCCAACTGCCCTAGTCCTGAATGAAATGTAATTTTTTTCCTCACCAAGTATTCAAAACTTAATATTTTGCTAAGTTTTAAATGACTGTATGAAAAAAATTACTACACGGGTTTGCCAAGTAACTTTAATGTTGACGTATTTAATAAGGAATCTAAAATGGTATATCACTTGCAAGATTGTTTGTTAAATTTTGGAATTTTTTTTAAAAGAAAACCGGTTGTTAATTGATTTTCCTTACCTGTCTAAAATTATTTTTGTGTTACTTAAGATTCTAGTTTGAGTGAAACGGAAGGAACCAGTCGACGAAGTGTGAGCGAGACAGAAATCTTCTTTTCAGGTAGTCCAAATTCACCACGAGCCATATTAATAATGTTGATTCAGTGTATTTGCTTTAAAATTAGGATTATTATTCTTTTTTTAGAAAAGTTTTAAATTAATAAATTTAACATCGACTATTTAAATGTTAAATTAAACAAACAAAATACCTATATTGAAAATCAAGGATGGTACATTTACAGCAAATGCTCAAACTGCCTTCCACTCGCAATGCACGCTCGGTATCTTAAAAAGGATCAGGTTATCAGACGAGCGAATTTACCATTTTTAACAAATTCAGCCACTTCAGTTAGTCTTTGCCGTAACTCAGCTACGTTTTCAACCGGTTTTAAATAAACTTTCTTTCACTCTCTGTCTCGCTCACGCTTCGTCCTAGTTCTCTCCGTTTCATAGAATACTATAATACACAATAGAATAGCTGTCAACCTTATTTTGTACGAGGATCGGTGTCGTCGGGAGCACACATACACGCAATAACGTCGTATTATCACTACTATAAACCCGATTCGCTGTATTGACAGACTGAGCGCACACATTTTAGACTTTTGATTAATGTATTTGACACATCAATGTTCCTTTATTTTTGTTTCTAATATTCACAAAATATAAATAGTTTCGACTTACTGGTTATAGGATATGTCTCCTTTATTTAAATTCCATTTCACGCTGTTCTTTCGACACGTAAATATTGCACAATTTGCCATTTTTTAAATAATTTGCATACAGCGATGCTTGACACGAAATTGGAAACAATAGATTGTGTTGACATTTATAGGTGTGAATTGACATGTTAGTAGCTACACGGGCTTTGCCCACTCCCCCGTTATATTATGTATGTATTACAGTATTCAATGTCTCCGTTTCACTCAAACTAGAATCTTAAGTAACAGGCTTGAGGAAAGCCTTGGTGCTCAAAATACGGTTTGCGTATTTGTAACTATTTAGGTATTTGTAGCAATTTGAAGATAAGTCTTGCGTCGGTCTTATGGTTCCGGTAGATGGGGGTGGAGATGTCTATCGGAAATTGTGGTGGCATGTGATCAGCGATAGATAGAACTTATGATCCCTGTTTCATTAGGATTATCTCTATGCGTATATTTTTTGGGCATCTCTTTAGTTATTTTGTTGTGGACTTCAGTCCAGCCTACAATCGTATTTGGCATAATCCCAACACCTCTCTCGCATCCATATTACATCTAGGCATGCATGCTTATCGGTGAAGGATATTAGTTCGGCTCATCTTCAGCATATCGTTATCTTTCGCCTAAGGCGTCCTTTGTTGACTGTGCCCCTCATAAATATCAATTTTCATTATTGTTACTATTACTGTAGAGCCGTGGTAGCTCAGGGACTAAGCGCTTGCTATAAATTTCACAGTTCAACCCGGGTTCAATCCCCGCCGTCATCAATGAAATTGTTAATTGAAATTTTCAGTGCTGATTTACCACGTGCTCGGCGGTGAAGGAAAACATCGTGAGGAAGCCGGCATGTCTGAGAAATAAGAAAAAATTAGAAGCCATAAAGTCCGCCAACACGCATTATTGGGGCAGCGCGGCGGACACTTTCTTGCCCTAAAACACTCTCAGAAATGAGAGGAGGCCTGTGCCCAGCAGTTATTGCTGTGTATGTGGATGTTACTATGTACTTATGTATAACCAATTTTATAATTGCAGCTAACAACTGGAGGAAAGATCTTACACTAACATTGAATAGGTGTAAATTATCTTTTAAATTGTCTTAAAAGTTAGTCTATCAAAGTGTTCAAGTAATTATTACCACTAAAAATATTTCTTACTCCAAATAAATAACTTCGATTCAGCAAGAAAACAGAGGCCTTAACTTTGACAAAGGACTAAGATGAATAGGATCTAAGGAATAGTTTTAATGGCTAGAATGTAATTAAAAAAAATCTGAAACATACTTTACTTCGTTTTATTTGTTTTTTATAAAATTATAAGTTTCCTTTTCGTTTTTGAAATTAATGCATAATATCACATACGAACTTTAATTTAATAATTTATTTAAATTTTTTACTCTTAGTGTATTCCTCATCGTTAATTTTTCTTTTTTCAGTTTTCGTAAACCATGTAGTTATGGATTTTTGTGAACATTTTTCTTTTGATATTCTCTTAATACAGTCATCTGATTTGTAGCGTGAATTGTTAACTGCTGTTGAAACTTGATGCCATGACAGTAATTTGGAAGGCTTGAGATATGAAAGTGCCATATCAGCATTAACATTATCAATGTCAAGCCATGCCTGAAATAAAATTAATTTTTGTACTACAAAAAGTTGTCACTGATATTTTCGGACGAAACCGAAACTTATTAAAAGTGACATTAACTTTTGTTTTCATTACTCATAATTGTTGCTTGAAGGAAATTACTAAATCATATCTTTTACTATTAATTATACTAGAACACACGTAAAGTTAAAGAGAAGAAATATTCGAGCTAATGTTTTATTATTAAGAGTTCAAATACAAAATTCCGTTTTGTATAAAAATACATAAAAACGTTACATAAAAGAAATATTTATGTAGTTAATGCATAATATTATCTTTACTACAGAAGTTGTAGGAAGGCCATCCAAAACTTACGAAAAATTGGCGGATACAAATCAAGTATGAATCATTTTTCTGCCTCTTGTGAACCAAATTTTTTAACTTGCATAAAATTTCCCAAATCCCGAAAAAGGTGGTAAGTATTCAATTAAGTAGCCATAGGGTTGTAACTTTTTTTTGTGTTATCAGTGGATGGACTCAATGAGGTCTCGAAATATAATAAAGCTTATGTTAATGGCACAGTGCTGTTTCTCAGCTAATATAGTCAAATTTAGCCTCTCACTCATTAATCTAGTCTAAATTCTAATCCATTGTTCCTACCACAACAATAAAAAAATAACTTGTCATGCAATTTCTACATATTTAAAACATGATATAATTTGGCTTCGTTGGTTTCGTACAATGCTTGATAGTAGATATCCAAATTGCAAAATTTATGATCCAAATCGGTAGGTGTCGATTAATTGAATTAGCTGACGAGTACACTAACACTTCCTTTCTGGATACACAGAATAAATAATAGTACTACGCAATAGTGTTAAACCCAATAGTTATCACCAGTAATGATATCGCAACCGCACCGAGATAAACCTGCTTCTTGTTAATCTATCATTTTTCGTTTCGCGGTTTCACACGACAAAATTACCTTTTGCGTTTCAGCGAATATCTTGCATTACATTATAGGTATAAAGATGCTCGTGTAAAACCTCGTATATGCTTTCCAATGTTTCATACACCTTAACAGTTTTTATTACTACTTTATTGGTGGATTCAGCAGTTTATTATTTAAACTGCTGAATCCACCATTTTTGTATTTTAAAACATGCGCGTGCATTCTATCACTTGTGACTGTCAGCACTAGTTTGTCGGTTTCGATGTACATTTCAATACAACTTTATTACGATATTGAAAGGCACTACCCCTTGTGCTGAAAAATAACGATGATATGAAAGCTGAAGCAAATGTAATTTCGACAACAAAGTTCTAAAGACCAGCAAAGTGTCTGGTGATCCGATAATGGAAGGGAGAGGAAGGAAATAAGTTACTGAGCACTCTTTGAAATGTATTATGTATAATACCTAGAGGCTGGCTATTTTGCGTCTGCGCTCGAGACTGATGCGATTGGTTCTAACCATATCGGTGTCACCAATATCTTACAGCACACCTTTACATTGAGTCCAAAACCGCTAGGTAGCTTAGCAGCACCAGGCCATAAACGACAGTAATAATCAATGCCCAATCGAATTTGCACTTTATATAGGTGCAAAACATTTGGTATAGCAATTGTCAATCCACTGGCGTGACATTGCGCTTGGCCTTGGATTAAGGCATGTTGTGTCTACAACCATATCCAGGAGGCCCATGTCCAGGAGTAGCTTTAAGAGTTGTTAAAGAGAATGAATATAGATTCTATCTCGTGTTATTAAAGTTAATGTTTGACTAATACCTCAATTTGCACTTCTGTGTCCAAAATAGCGGGCATTCTATGGTGTAGCCAGTCCAGTGTATTGTTAGAGTCCATGGTAATAATGGAATATGAATAAAGAATAATATCATCATTTTGCCATGTATTATACAGTCCAGCTATGTACAAAAGCTTTAAACCATTCCATCCATCTCCATCATTATAACTATTCTGAAATGTGTCAGGCTCATCAATCTGTAAATATGTAATAAATTGAAATGTTTTAAACTATTTTTATATTAAGTTGTCTATTTTGTCACTGATTACCAGAATTTCATAAAATACTATATTTATAGGTAAATGCTATACAGTATTTTAGAAGATAATAGATCTTTACATATGAAATTGCTGTTCAGCAGTACTGGCCGTTTCACAAAAGAGCTTTTGTTTGGCTAAGAATTCTAATTTCAAATTAAGTTTCTTGATTAGCGTTATGTTTTCATCGAATTTGAATCGTTTTCGTCATCATGGATACATTAAAAGTTCCATTAATTATGAAATATGTGTACCGTCATGTTGTGGCAGAAACGCGGCACAAGCGGCATGCAACATCAACGACGTTTACGGACCGAGTACTACAAACGAACGCACCACCTGTTATTAGTTTGCCAGCTTCAGTTCTGGAAATTTCGACCTGATGTGGTCGTCCGAAAACGTTGGTCAACAATGATAAATTAAAGGCAATTGTGGAAGCTGATAATACTCAATCTACGGCTGAAATAGCAGCAGCTTTCGACGTTAGCATCAAATTGGCAAGGTGAAAAAGCTTGACAAATGGTTGCCCCACTAACTCAATGGTCACCGGTGCGAAGTACGCGTCGAGACTGACTTGCACTGCTCAACAGGTCCACAAAAGAAGGAATTTTGAACCGTATTGTTACCTGCGACGAAAATGGATTCTGTTGGACAATCGCAAGCGGTTGGATCCTGGCTCAACACCTAAACAATGCCCTAAATGAAAACTTACCCCTAGAAAAGATCTTTGCCAGATGCATTGATTACATGGGTGATTACTTTGATTACTAGAAATGAAAAATTTTTTTTTAACTTATTTCATAAATAGGCAATTTCATAGGTAAAGACCTAATATTAATATTATATATAGTAATATTATACCTACAGTACTTAAAACAGTGCAGTGACGGTGCAAGAATATGCACTACCCCCATACATAACATGCGTGTTGTAAGAGGCGACAGACGGAAACTGAAATGAGTCATCTGCAGCAGCATCTTCCTAATAAATACTCCTCATGAGGCAATCTATGGAGTAAATTTATGTTCAGCAGTAGATTTTTATAGGCTGAAATGGATAATGGATTTTAAATAGGGATGGGCCGAATATGGATTTCACTGAATACGAATATTCGGCCGAACGTTCGGTTAAACTTTTACCGAACCGAATATTCGGCCGAACATTATTCGGCGGGATCACCTCGGTACTTAACCAATTTATGTCGAAACTTGTTACCGTAAAGCGCGCGGGATTAGTGCCGGACCTTGCCCCTCGCTCCCCCGCCACACCTGACATGTCCTGTATTGCATCATCTAGTACTGAGCAAATTGCCGGCACATGCTTGTGCTTTGACTATTTTTGTGAGAAAAAAATATTTCGTTGTGTTATTATTAGTGAAAATTGATAAGTATATGATGAAAATGAGTGGCAGGAGATACTATTTCAACCTATTTTAGAGAAACTGACGACTGTAATTTACATTACAGTCGTCAGTTTCTTTATTTGATTCCAAACAAAATTTTATCAAGCTTTCTATTGCTATAATTGGAAATAAATCTACAGTGCCTCAAAAACATAACGCGCTATACAAGTAGATTTAACCCATAAGTAAATATACTTCAAACAGTAAAATTATTAGACATGGCATTACTCAATTCGTACATTTCAATACAGTGGACGAATACGAATATTCGGTAAAGCTGCCGAATATGCCGAATACCGAATATAAAACGAATATTCGGCCCATCTCTAATTTTAAAAGATATGATATATTTTAAAAGCGCATTCTTCTAATAATGGATTTGACCATTTATTGTTACTCAGTTATGCTTGCATGTTAATAAACTAGACTAAATGTTGATGCAAGATTAAAAACTAAATCTGAGAAGGAGGTCAATATGCAAGCATTAGTTTGACCGTCACAAAAATAATGGTTACCTACAGAGTTCAGAATCATAGCAAAATCAGAGAAGTAGAAGTAAGCCAAACTCGTAAGTCAAATGTTTATTATAAGTTTATTTATTTGTAGAATACAACCACATAAAATATATTCCACAAATACATGATAAAGTATTTGTGGAATGGATTTTATGTGAAAAAAATCTGATTATAAAAACATATGCAAATTATCTTGACCACCTAATACTGAGTGCTAGCCTAAGCACAATTAAAACAAATTTCTCTGAATAAAAGTAAAAACTGTAACATTCTAATTGTCGTGACACTGACAATGATTATGTTGAATAACATAATCATTGTTGGCAATTTCATTTTCACCTTTACATATAGGTATCTATGTCGTTTGAATCTGCTTTTAGATATGAATTGAAAATATGTATAAATTGTGGCAATTTGCAATATTTACCTTGATATGTTCCTCTTGTGAGGCATAAATGTAGTATGGTTGTTTCACCTTAGTTTTAATAGTAGTTTGCCATTCATAGTAGCCTTCTACTACAATTATACATCTACCCCCATTCAACAAAATTGGGTTATATAGTTTCGATTGCCTTATATTTTCTAATCTACAATTATTCGTACTTAGATTGTGTTTGTGATAATCACCCTAAAAAGAAATTAAAGACTGGTTTTGTAACTGTTTTTATATTTGTATACATATAAAAACTAAAGAGTAGGCTTAGTATCATGACTGAGGGTTGTGGAGGATGTAGGTGGGTCCCCTTTTCACCCTGCAGCTTTTTTTGCAGTAAACACATTTTTTTTATAACAAATTAAATAAGCTTGTTAAAAAATGGTACTGTAACCATTTAAAATGTTAAATGTTTAGAATTTACAAAATATAATTAAATTGAAGTGCCTCTCTGTAATATCGAAATAGCTGGAGAAGTTATTTCTATGCTATTATAACTTGTGCAGTGACAGTGTAAGAATATTCACTACTCCATGTTATCCCGTAGGTGTCATAAGAGATCACAGAGGGAAACTGAAACATGAGATGAGCAGCAGCATCTTCCTGCTAGCAGCTTAAAATAATAAAAAAACTGCCTGACAAGCATGGCAACTATGTAAATTACCCTTAATAGGGCAATATATGGGAGAGTCCTATGTTTAGAGTTTAATAGGCTCTAATTGTTTAATCCTGCAATGCCGTTACATTTTTTTGGAGTTATCTTTATAGCCTAATGAGGAGAGCGTAGATCTGGAACGCTGGAGGATGTGAATTTTTATCCAACAGTGGTCGTATTTTTCAGTTTATATTTCTTATTCTATTTTTTAGTATTGTAGCTCACCATAGCCCAAATTGACAAGAATAAATTATTATAGACTTATTAAAACGTTTGAGGAGGATTTTTCTGGAGCTATGCTATATATATATATGCATATATACATGTAAAATATAAACATAAACACTCACGCCTGTCACCCAGAGGGATAGGCAGAGACTACGGACTTCCATTTGGCGCGATCCTGACACACCTCTCTCGCCTCCTTCACATCCATATACCTACGCCACAGAATAAATAATAGCACTACGTACAGAAGTTGCACTCCTTTGATGTCGACTGCTTACCGACGTTTAATAGCCTACATTATTATTATTAATCAGATAAATCGCACACGCAAGCTAAATAAAACTTAATCGCTGCACGCTAGTGTCCCATATCACTTTGCATCTTTTTTGTCACGGCGGACTTTCCATGGTTATTAAGGGATGTCAATAGAAAGTAAAAAATACATTGCGAAATGTTAATTATGTTACTTAGGTCAAGTACTAACTAATATTCTGACTATGATTGAACCATACTTTCGCCCACATGTAAGTTCTGCGATGCCTAACTCATGCAAATTGCAAGGTCATTCGTCGGGAATCGTAACGTTTGGGAGAAATAGGTAGATAGTGTAAACAACAAATAAACCTGAAATACGATTTCTAACAGAAATGTGATCTATTCTATTTAGTTAAAAATCTTGTTAGTATACAAAGTTTTAATTTCAGTATTTTGTGTTATTATAACTCAAAATATTTTAATTACAAAAGACAAGTATGTAAGGTAAGGTATGTAAGTAAATACTTGGATAGTGAAGTAAATTTTAACTAATTGTTGTAATGAAGTACTTAAGTATTTCTTCTGTAGACCAAATTATTACTTAATTCTTTTTTGCTGTGAGTACCTATCTAACAAAAAAATTAAATAAATTTTTTAACCTTTCATAACTTCCTTCTAAAATTCTTCGGTAACTTAAAGAATGTATGAAGCCTTTTGTTGGTCATTTCATTCAGTATCCATCTAAGCAACAGTTACAGTAGGAACGACGTTTTGCTATTATAATTTATCAAATAGGTAATATACATAATACCTATATAATTTTTAAAATACATTAAAACTTTTACAACTATTTTTACCTACAATTAAATATACTAAACACTAAACAAAAACTATTTCAACAACTATTTACATAAAACTATTTACGTAAACAGCGACAAAAAACTTTAACATTCGATCGCCACCAACACGCCAGCCCTGACTGCGTTATTTCGCCTGGGCGCGTCGCGATTTTAGGTAATTATTTCACTCAGGTAGCAAGAGTGATAGAGGCCTGCCTACGCATACATGCTTGTCGGTTAAGGGTGTACTCCTAATTTGGCCCGTTTTCAATACATTGCTCGACAAATTTTCGCCTAGGACATCCCATTCCTACTCTGCTATTCACTTCTGCAACATACATTTTCTTTGTCACTTTTTCCACATGACCAAACCACCGAAGCATTCCTTTCTTAATCCTGGTTACAAGATCATCTTGCAAACCACACTCTTCTCCTATCACACAATTTCTCACCCTGTCATTCAGATTCAGCTCTAACATACTTATATATATACATATATACATGTATACACATATATTAATTTTCTACGAATATTTAAATTTATTATCGGCTTCCTTCCATAATTTGTTATTATTCACCTGAAAATTCACAAAACATGAACTTTAAAATGAATTTACAATTTAATTCACATTCAATTCAGACATATGAATGTGATAAAACCCATAATTTTTATGAAAAATTAGGCACTTTCTTTGTAGACTCCAGTATATGAAATGTGTGTCTAGTCATTTGTATGACAATTCAAAGAAACAAAGGGAAAATCTGATATTACATTTATAAAACAATGGAATTTATATCACTGTACCTTATGCCAGGGAGGGATTATTCCCCACATCATTGGTTTTATAATGCGAATGCTATCGCTTTGTGTGGTTCTATATTTACTAGATGAAATCAAAACAGGTGAGACATCTGTGGGTGCAATATTGTAAGAGGGTACATATTCTTTGCCATCATTATGTTCGTGTAGCCATTCTGGTTTAACATAAGAATCGCCATGACCATGTCTAATTTTATAGCTACATGCACATCGAATTAGTTCTTTGTCAAGTGATCTATAAACAATTTAAAAACACATTTAATACATATTTTAGTAAATGTAAGTAATTTTTTTTTAATTAGTCAATATCAAATATATTATTCACGCACAATGCAGTACGTCCACACATAATAATTTGCAACCGTGTTACATCAACTTCAAGGAATTTATTACTTTATCAATTTCGGTTTGTTCATAGCATTAGGTACATGTTCACTGTGAATCTGTGCCGTTGATATAAAATTGTAAATAATTTAAAGTATAAATCAAATGTAAGAAGTAAATATTTTCCCGCTTCTCGCGACCGGCTGCGGCGACCTCTGCCCAAGAATTTAATTTTGAGATCTTTGGCTTGGATGCTTATTTTTAAGCCGTATTAATTTCATTCGGCATGTACGTTTTTATAGATATTCTCCTATTATACTCATGCGTCACTTTTCATAGTTTTTGGGAGATTTTGACGACAGCTTAACTCAGCGGATAGTCGATGACGACAGTCACTGAAGTTCATAAGGCGCCTAAGCGATCAAAATAATTTGAGGGTTATTCAACAACAAAGCACTTTTACAAAATTAGGGGAAATACTTATTACACAAAATCGCATCACTTTGACGTGTCGAAATTCACTTCAAACCATTATTTAAAAGATAAAACAGAAGTAACAATCCGTCGACGGGTAGCTCTTCAAAACGTCCAAAAATATTGTGTCGAACTTTAAGATACATAATTGTTTGGCCATGTATATTCAAATTATTTTTGTTAATTAGTACATAGATCAAACTACATGGCGCATTAAAAAATAGGAAGAAAGCCATATATTCCTATAAAATTTAACAATATATGTCTAATATATTCACTACCGGTGCTGAGCTACAACAGTAATGTTTTAGAAAAATATTTCATAACAAAAAACTTGTCTAGAGAACGCTGATTTTAGTTAGTCCTTAATATGCAATAAACCACTTGATAATATTTTAATACTCTGCATTATCTAAATATTATATTTACCATACCATAAACACTCACGCCTGTCACCCAGAGGGGTAGGCATGATCCTGACACACCTCTCTCGCCTCCTTCACATCCATACACCTACGCATAGATCGGTTAAGGGTACTCCTAATTTGGCCCGTTTCCAATAAATCGCCAATTTGGTCGATAAATTTTCGCCTAGGACGTCCCTTTCCGACTCTGGCATTCACTTCTGCAACATAAATTTTCTTTGTCACTCATTCCTCATTCATTCTTTCCACATGACCAAACCACCGAAGCATTCCTTTCTTAATCCTGGTCACAACATCATCTTGCAAACCACACTCTTCTCTTATTACATAATTTCTCACCTTGTCATTCAGATTCAGCCCTAACAAACTCCTTAACGACCGAATTTCTACTGCGTTTATTCTACTTTCGTGCTTCTTCTGCCACACCCAACTTTCACTACCATACGTTAAAGTAGGGACCAACACAGCATTGTGAATTGCCACACGTGCCTTTTTCGACACATTTTGACTCTTCACAATAGAGTGCAAGGCCCCATTTACTCTATTTCCCGCATTCACTCGTCGTTCTATATCCTTATCATATCTCCCATCCCTGCTAAATACGCAGCCCAAATATACAAACTCATCTACTTGCTCGATCAACTCCCCTTCTATTCTTATTTCACAAATCGTTTTACTTTCTTCTCTTTCAAAAACCATAACCTTCGTCTTACTTGGGTTCACTTTCATACCCCTTTCTTTTAATGATCCGTTCATTAATGTAACCATCATTTGCAACTCGGCCGCCGACGACGCAAGAATGACTTGATCATCGGCGTACAAAAGGCATCTGACGGTTAACTCACCCATTCTTAATCCGCATTCTTCAACTTTCAAATTTTGCAAACAACTGTCCATAAATAGGTTGAACAGCCACGGGGAAGCCACATAGCCCTGTCTGACACCTTTATGGATGTCAAACCAGTCCGAGTAGACCCCGTTGATCCTAACACAAGCACTAGAGTCCCTATAAAGAGACTCCAATGCCTGTATCAAGCCAGCGCTCAACCCAAATGAGTTCAGTGTTTGCCATAGCAAATCCCTATCCACTCTGTCATAGGCCTTTTCCAAGTCCATGAACGCACAAAAAACCTTTTGGTTTTTGGCCAGAAACTTCTCCGCGATCATGCGCATGGAAAAGACTTGATCTGTACATCCCATTCCCTTTCTAAATCCCGCTTGCACATCCCAAATTTTTCCATCAGTTTCTTTCATGACCCTTTCAATCAGTACCTTAGCGTACAGTTTTCCCACAATGCTAAGAAGGCTGATGCCACGGTAGTTTTTACAGTCCTGCTGCGACCCTTTTCCTTTATATACTGGGACTATCACGGCTTTGCACCAGTCTCCCGGTACCCGCTTCAGTTCCCAGCATAAATTAAACAAGGTGTGCAGCAGGCCTGCCACCACCTCCTCTCCACCCCTTAGCATTTCGAGTGAAACTCTATCATATCCGGGCGCCTTACCCGCTTTCATGCTTTTCATTGCTTTCATTATTTCATCTATACTTATCTCGCTACCTCTTTCCTCTTCTTTCGGAGTTTCTACTACACTTAGTACACATGTTGTCTCCTCACTCATAAACACGCTTTCAAAATATTCCTTCCATCTCTTTAAACTCAAAACTTCATCATTCAGAATATAGCCATTCTCGCCTCTTATAGCATTCATCATAGGCTATTTTGAATGTCCCCTGGCAGTTCTTACCAGTTTCCAGAACATTTTAATATTTGCCTGGAAGTTATCCGATATTCTTCTATCATTGTTATCCGTTCCTTCTTGCTTTTTTCTTTCAATTACTTCTTTTATTCTCTTATTACGATGCCTAAAGACCGCCTTTTTTCTTTCAATATCATCATTCGTACCGCTAGAATTACCAGCCTTTGTTGCTAGTAAATCTAGCCATGCTCTTCTTTGCTTCAACTTCCATACGTATCTCATCATCCCACCATAACGTATTATTTTTCCTAATTATATTTACTGTCAAAAAACATTTTAAAACTTTGTAACAGAAAAAAGTAATTAGCGTGATAAAAATTATATTTTTTTTACCCGGTCAACATCGTTTTATAATGTGATTTCTATCGATTTCTCTATTGGCTATTGAGAAATGGGCAACATGTTTATTTGATCTGAAACTAAACCTATGCGGATGCAAACAAGTTCCCGCCAAACCTCCATCCAAAATATATAGATTACTGTTTTGGATAGGTAGTAGTAGGTGGTAGATATAGATACAACGCCAGTATATTCTAGGTCTATGGTCTCACGAAAGAAGTCCCGCAGACATGGAATATAGAGGTAAGCAGAACCATCTCACATAGGCTTTGAGTATTAAACCAAAGGAGACGGCATCGCAAGGCATACCCCTCTGTAAAAGGTACGAGAGTCCGACTCATACTCGTTATATAAAACTAGTTGCTCCGCGTTGTGCGTCATGTCGAAGTGATCGTGCCAGTAAATCGAGCTCCGACAAAATGCCGAATTGCAGTGTATTTACATGAAAAAAAAAAAAAACAATCAAAAACGTCAAGTATACAAAAGGACAATGTGACTTTTCATCTGTGAGTATTTTTAACATAATATTAAAGTAATTTTATCATTAAAACTCGTACTTTGTGAATATTATCGTCCTATACCGAGTGTGGCCATCATAGTTCATAAAGTGAAAAATAATCTCATTTCTCATTCATTCATTCATTCGGCTCAATTTTAACACGATACTGAATAATATATAATTAAATATAATCGATAACTAGTATTTATTAAAATATTATACAAAATACAGGCCAAATAAATCAAATCGAAACTTGCTACCTCGCAGCAAAAGTGTGCAATTTTTATAAAACTAAACTGATATCACTGCAACCGAAAGTATTGCACTATAGTGATGAACGCCGCAACTTTAGCTATCGATAAGTTAATTAACCATGTGGGTTTGTCTGCCGAACCGGTTTGTAGTTTTTATTTAGATTTTATAATAAAGTATTACAAAATGTAGTAAATTTTTCTATTATTGGTTTGTTATTACAGATTTCCAAGAGATCCTCTTAGGTGGCACACTTGGATTGTAGCTTGTAGAAACCATGAATCTGACACTGCAGTACCAACCTTGAACTTGTGGGAGGTAATGTTGGGCTGTAATTATATTTAGATTAAATATTTTTATTATTACCTTTGACACCAATACTATTCTACTTGAAAATATTTTATTAAGTTTACAAAAGCACTAACCTATCAAATTTAATTCTTATATTTATATACCTATTATTGTAATTGTAAACTTAATGTAGTATAATTTTTGTACGCCATAAATGGCAAAACATGTAGCTCGTTTTAGGTGTTTAACACTTGTATTTATTTACTCATGTTTTACAAAATAAATATCTTTGTCATATATATATATATATATATATATATATATATATATATATATATATATATATTGTTGCACGTTCTGTCTCCCGGAGGGGGCGAAAAGAGGATTGCGGAGGCCCGTCTAACTACGCTGAATGTATGTGGAGCAATGAATGATAAGATAAATGAGGTATGCGATATGATGTATGATAGAGGAATAGATGTGTTATGTGTAAATGAGACGAAGCGGAAGGGAAAGGATGTCACTACACATGCCGCTTACTGGTCCGGTGTAGACGAGACCGAGCGAGCATGCCACGGAGTCGGTATAATCCTTTCAGAAAGAATGGGTCAATGTGTGAAAGAGTATGAATGTGTAAGCCCGAGACTGCTATGGATACGAATAAAAGTGGGCCTAAAGAAGTTGTTTGTTCTAGGGGTCTACGCCCCAGACATGTCTAAGCCCACTTGTATCCGAGAGCAGTTTTGGGAGATGGTAAGGATGGTGGTTGCGCGGAAAACCATTCGTATTTATTTTATTTGACGGTAGGCTGCCAAATCGGTTATCCCTTTTCAAAACGATATCATTCATACCCTCCTATCGACACATCGGGGTGGTGGGGTGGGAGGGGAAAGAAGATGATTCTAGAACATCACGTAATCATCGGAACCGAAGATATATAAGGCACGCGCGACCCACGCGCAGCCTCTTCCCGCCGCGCTCGTCATT